CCAAGTCTGTTAAAATTAACGGTGCGGTGGTCTGATTGAATCAATTAAAAAGTTTGGTGGTCGAATTGAGACAAAAAATAGTTCGGTGGTAAGATTGATTAATGACCATAGTTTGGTGGTCTCCCGTATAGTTTACCCTAAAAAATATCAAGAGGGAGCGAATTGTCTCTTTAAAATTTGGTGGAAGCCATCAAAAGATATAAATAAATTACACAATAATATAGAGTGGTTCGACTTCTGAACCAAGTTTACGTCTATTACAATAAGGATTTTTCAAATTCACAAAATTTACTTACCTTTAAGGATAGAGTGTATCTTACAATTCTCTCAAGATTTATACCTCAAATCTTAAATTCAAATTCTCCTGTCTTTGCTTGTTTGATCATTCTTTCCTTTAAGTGAAGATAATCATATTTGATATCTCCCGATTTATTGCATTCTTAACAAATGATATGATCATTTTCTTTCTTTGATTCATGTTTCAATTCAACTCTTTTAGATTTTATGAATCTCTTGCATCTTTTACCAAATTTGGTGATTTATTTATTTTCATTCATCTCTTTATGTTTTTTGAAATGTGAATTTTGATTAAAAGGAATTCGGTACATAGAAAGACATTGACACTAGCCTCGTTAAAAAACTTCCCTGATCTGAATTGGGGAAAAAAGAGTGCCGAGTGCCAAGTCCTAAGAATAAACCAGTACATTGAACCACTTGCAAGAACACTAATCCCACCAAAGGCATAACCCCTACCAAGAGACTAAGCAGGACCGAAATAGGTAACAACATAACAACAAACCAGAAGCAAGGACAAACTCCATAGAATACTCTATACAAGGAAAGACTAGAGTCAAAGCAAATAAGGGCTAGCACAAGGATTTCCTTGCTGTAATAATTCCACAGAACCACACTGTTGAAGACCAAAGGGAGACCCATAGAAACTTTTCCCATACTAGAATTTCACCATCCGCCGTCGGTGACAACTAAAACTGGAAACATCTCCACAGTACCGAACTAACTATGATCGATGCCATCCTCGGCAAAACTTGACAAGGCTGGATGCAAAGGTTCAAACCTGAAACGATAAGTAATTGACAACGAACCTAAGAAACACCATTAGTGTTTAACCATAGAAAAGGAAAAGGTCTCCTTAAATCCTCTTTGGCTAAAGCGTGAGCTTCTTAGTTCCTTTCTCTAAAAGCGAGCACACAAGTCAAAGCACTTCCCGATAGATTCAACATATTGAGGAGGAACACTGCTGGGATTTTCTATCCACCTTACTGCCATCAAGCAATTAGATTCGATCAGCAACACATTATCACAGACCCACCTTGATGATGAGAAAATTTGGCCAGCTTCCAGAATAACATCAATTTCTGCACCAATAGGATCTGACAGGCCAATTGATCTTGAAAATCTACTCAAAACTTCACCCTTGTAGTTACGCAAAACCCCACCGATGCCTGCCTCACCAAGACTGCCCAGTACCGCCGCGTCTACATTGAACGTCCCAGAGGCAGGGGCCACCCAGGAGCAAGAAGAATGTCTATAGGGATCACATAAAGCAGAAGATACTATCGAAGGGCAATAAATAAAATCGTTTATAGATAGGAAGGATTTTGGCCATTTACTTTTCGCCAAAACACCAATTCTTAACAATGCAAGATCGATCACATGATGTACGTCATACTGCTTATTGTTGAAAATAACCTCATTGCGGACTAGCCCGATGGTCCAAACTATACCGAAGGATGCTAGCTGCCACAGTGATTTGATAGCCATTTTGATCGGCAAATGTTCCCAAATGGTAAAAAGATTTTTCAGGGAGCTCGGGACAACTAGCCTTACGTTCCAGAACCTACACCATGATTGCCAAATTTTCCAAGAGACTTCACAATGTCAAAAATGGAGATTGACAGTTTCTAAAGAATTGGAACATAGAACGCAGGTTCATTAGAATCCTCATCCTTTTTCTCAGTGAACTTTAAGGTAAAAATAATTTTCTTTTCTTATTTTTTCTTCTATTTCTTCATCTTCTTGTCTTCTTCCTTTAATATCATCTCATGAGTAATCAAAGATCCAATGGACTCATCAAGAGTGAGACTTTATGTTTTTTTGCTTCAATAATCATCGTCTTCTTTGATTATCAAGACTTTGGAAGACTATATACCATCTTCTTCACAAATTTTTCATTTGAGATGATTTCTTCACATCCTTTGAGACCATTAACAATGATAGAGAATCTATCCGGCATTATTTTGATATCTTTGTCCATTTCTATTTTGAAGTTCCCATAAGTAAGATTGAGAAGAGTAATTTTATTTTTTCTCAACTCATTTATTCCTTCATAAGTGACCTTAAGTTTGTCTCAAATCTACTTGGTATTAGAACACCAGTGACTCTTCTATATTCAACCGATTTAATTTTATAATATATTTCTATATAAATATATATATTTGTATTCAAACTAAATTCAGTTTTCTAATCACCCAATCAAATGCACCTTTCCATTACCTAATAAATTAACGAATCCATTATCATAATCAAATCCATTGCCAAATTACTCATACCCCAAACTTTAATTAATCAAAATATTCGATCGCGATTACTTTAATTATAAAGCCAAAGATTATTGCATTTAGAAATTTCCTTTTGTTGTTGTCCTCCCAGTTCCTTAAGTTCCGTTTGGTTAACACGGACCGATCCGGATCACACACCTAAGTTTAGTAGATAAGTCTTTCAGTGGAGTTTTTCTACATATGCAAAGACTCAAACTCAAGAGCTGCTTAAATAATATCAAATTGTTTACCACTTAAACCAACCCGTTAGTACATTTAGAATTTTATTCATCCACTGTTAGTACGTTTAGAATTTTATTTTGAATGACCGCTTGCATTGTTTTGTTATTATTTTAATTTTTTGCAATCTAATCCCTAAATTTTATGTAGATCAGTACCGAAGAGGACAGGTTCTCTACTTGAACCATTGTCATATTCCATCAAGTGATATAATAGTGACAATATTAATATTTATTTTATTTTAAAAATGTTCTAGTTCTTATCAAAACTTTTTTTGAATAAAAATAGTAAATATATTTTAAATTATATTTATTTTATATTTTTAATTATATTAATCTCCCGTAATTTAGAGAGAAGAAAATTGGTTAATCGCATAATTATATTATCTATTACCGCCATAAATAAATAGGGTAAATTACATCATATATAAATGAACTTTAGACAGAGTATTATTTATATTATTGAACTTTTGATTTTTTAATTATAGAATTAAATTTTAGTTTTGACTTCGATTATACCACTAGATTGTCAAATTTTAATAGCACGATGACATGATGGATATTTCTATAACTATGATGATGTGGACAAAATGATGTTGTTTGACATGACTATTGTTGCCCGAAAGACATTTTAGGCAATGAATTTTAAGGGTGTATTGATTTTACTACTAAATTTTAAAAAAGTTTAATTTTTGGTACTAAATTTTTTCGACCATCATTGGTAATCAATTGCTGACTGTCATCAGTCATATTTCATAGTAAATTTGATATCAAAACATTTATATTTCACTCATCTTTCTTCTACTAGGAGTGGTTTCCCACAAAAAAAAAAATACTAAAATCGACATAAACCATTTAAAGGTTCGACGTGCTAATACTTCGATCTTTTTTAATGGTTGGCCAATGAGGCTAGTTTTAAGGTATATTATTCGTATTCTCAAATAATGCTTATCATCATTCAATTTTTTAAACAAATACCCCAAAACCCTAAAATGATAGATTTTTTAAATTTAATTTCATCGATTTTGAGTGAGTTTAGTAGAAAAACACTCATAGAAAAAAAAGAAGTAAATCAAATGTTTTGATATCGCTATTGTTGCAAAAGAAGATCCGTGACATGCAGAGAATGACTACTGGCAAAAAACAATATAGTGCAAAAAGTGAATTGTTTAAAAGCTTAATGGTAAAATCAATACACCTCTAAAGTTAAGGGTGCGTTTGGTTAATGGAATGTAAGATTATCAGTGAGAATAAAAGATTACCAGGGAATATGATTACTGTCAATTTTGTATTTTGTGTTTGATTGGTTTAGTAGGAATGTAAGATTACCGTGTTTGGTTAAAGGAATAAAAGATTATTGGAATGTATATTTGACCAAATTGTCCTTATTATATATTTATTTTTTTAACAAGTTGGAAAATATTTATATATTTTCTTTAAAAAATTTAAATTCATAAAATTTATATAATTTTTTTACAAAATTGAAAATATAAAAAGGTTTAATGAAAGGGTAAAATTTTATTTTAACCCCTGAACTTCATCTAAAATTTTAATTATAGACTTTTTTTGTAAATCTAAAATAGTTTAAGGATAAATTTGTAATTTAACTTTCGTAGAATTTTTATTATTCAATGTCAGAATAAGAATATTTTTGAAAGAAATTTTTTTAAGGGCATTTTAGTCTAAAACGCCGGTAATCCAACAATACCTAAGGAAAGGGAGGTAATGACATTCCCGGTAATATACCCCAAAAAATTCACTATTGATAATGTAAGATTACCGGGAATGACATTCCCTGCCAACCAAACGGGGGAATATGTATTTCATTCCCATGGGAATCTCACATTCCCCTAACCAAACACGGCCTAAATGTCTAAAATAACGCCGTTTTAGACATCAATAGTTACACAAAAATGATATTATTTGTCTATATCAGTACACCAATTGGATTTTAACCGTCTAAGGACATAATAAAAATCAAAATCACAATTTAGTACTATAATTGTAGAAATTAAAAGTTGAATGATATGAGCGATACACCAGGTAAGGTTAAGTGGTATATGGTACAGTTTACCCAAATAAGTACAACACTACGACAGTTTGTGCAATTTTCAAAATGGTCGGCCCCATGTTTTCCGTTCACGATCTCAGTCTTTGCTTCCTTCTAAGTCCCATTAGTTATCTCCTTTCCGCTTGGTCTTAGGCTCTATTTCCTTCCAAAACCCAAATGCATCTAACTCATGCTTTCCTATTTACTTCATTGTAATCGCCGATCAAAACCCATACCAAAACTTCTTTCACTTTTTGTTTGTTCCTCCTTCTCTGACCAAGAGAGAGAATAAAAATGATCCCTTTTCATTTAAAGAGCCCTCAGCCATGGCTCTCGCCCCCCAAATTTTCCAGGCTGACTCAAATCTCTTCTTCTTCTTCATCCAGGTACTTTTTCATGTTCAAGTATCCATCTTTTTCTTTTCTTGAACTTTAATTAATGAACTCAAGCATTTGATGTGATTGGAGTTTTAGTTGTAATGCATTGGTGATCCTATGGCTTTAAAACATTCATTTTTCCCTGAATCAGTAAAAATTATTGTTGATGTTCTCAAAGATTAAAGTCAACTTCTCCGTATGATTATTTTTGCTGCTAAACTCTTTGGATCCTATCTGGGATGTGCCTTGACTAATTTTTCCAACTCCCTAAGCATTGGCATTCTATATACCATCGTGGCCAAAGTAGTGGATATAACAGTTAACCATCAAGCTTAAGGGATAGGTGGCTGGAGAGCAGGGATTTATATCAACTGATCTTGATTCAAGTGTGAATGTGTTTTTATCTTTTATTTCTTATAATCGAAATCTGGTTGGGTTATGGATCAATCTGAATGTAGATATCATGTGAGATTAATATCTAGAATATTGAAACTTGTTCAGAAAAGTGTTGGTACATTACTAGGCTTAAAAGGCGTCAATATTTTGACTGTTGCACTCTCTTACAACTGTTTGATTTGTGATAAGATTGCCTTTTCTTATCCTTTTGTTCCTTTGTCTTTTTGCCTGATCAATCAAATAATTATATTATATGTATTCCGAAGGATGGTTTGTGGTTTCAGAGAGAAAATATTTCATTTAATGTAGCGCAATGTAGGAGAGCTCTAATGCATGAGTGAAATAAAAAAGGTATTTGGATTATGCATATGAAGTTTTTGAATTTTGTTGTAGAGCACAAGGCATAAGAGGCTCAAACAATACGATTCCTCTCAAGAAATCATTGCTGTGCAGCTATCGTTGGAAAATTTGTTCACCTAACAAAGCTCATAACATTGTGCGTAGTGAAGGTGAGTTCTAGCCTCATGCATTAAGAGTTTGTTAAATCGATACCTGTGTTCAGTTTATCAACAAGTTATTCATCTTTATATAATGATGTTAATGGTGGAACTCTTACTGTTTTAATCACACTGTCAAAATTATATGACATAGGTAAATAGGAAAATTTGGTATTTTGGGTTGTTACATAAATTGAATCTACATAAGACCGCTTGTTGTGGTTGATTTCTAGTTATGGAAACTGATCTGAACTTGTTTTATACGAATATTAAGTGGGTTAATCTGTTCTGACCTCAACAACACAAAGGTAAATGAACCTGTTAACTTTGTGTTTGATTTCAACTTATGATATGAACAATTGTTACCCATGTTGGACAGCTGCAGAGAAGAAGTGAGTTATGAAAAAGAAATTTATTAATTTGTATTTGACAGTTTTATAGTTCCTGTTCAAATTTCTTTTGAGTTCACAGAGGACTGGCCTCATGTTTATTTCCTTACATAGTGTTGATAAAGAGTAAATAACATAGTGGAGAAGAAAAGGAACTCTTTTTATTTATATATTGTGAGTGGTGAAAATACATCTTTTTATATGAAAATTTAGGAGTAAGTTTTCTATTAGAAGTAAACTACTTAGTAGTTATCCTTATCTATCTAACTTTCTAAGAGTTAGTGTTATATTAAAATACTAACTAATTATCCTTATCTATCGCATAAACTACACTCCCCTTCAAGTTGGGGAGTAAATGTTGAAAGACCCAACTTGGATATAATCTCATCAAAGGTAATTCTTGGAAGTGCTTTGGTGAGAATATCTGCTAACTGATTCTTCGTTGAAACATAATTGAGCTTCACCGTTCCACCATTCACCTTTTTAGAGATGAAATGTCTGTCAATCTCCACATGCTTCGTTCGGTCATGATGAACTGGATTCTTTGCAATACTTATTGCAGATTTACTGTCACTTTGAAGTTCAAACTATTTGTTGGCATATAACCCCAGCTCAGTTAACATTCTTTGAAGCCAAATTCCTTCGCAAATTCCAAGTGCCATTGCTCTAAATTCTGCTTCTGCACTACTTCGAGACATCACCGCCTGTTTTTTACTTCTCCATGTAACCAGATTTCCCCAAACAAATGAACAATAACCAGTTGTAGATCTTCTATCCGTTAATTCACCTGCCCAGCTTGAATCCGAAAAAATTCTTACTGTTCTATCATCATTCTTTGTAAAAATTAATCCATGTCCTGATGTCATTTTCAAGTATCTTAGAATTCTATTCGCAACCTCTAAATGTGCTTCTCTTGGATCATTCATATATTGACTCACTATACTGACAGGGAACGCAATATCAGGTCTAGTAAGTTATAAATAAATTAGTTTACCTACTAGCCTTTGATATTGTTCTTTGTTCACAGGACTTCCCAATTCTTCTCTCCATAGCTTAAGATTTGCTTCCATGGGTGTTTCTACCGGCTTACATCCCTTCATTCCAGTTTCTGATAGTAGATCAATGATATATTTCCTTTGGTTGATCACTATTCCTTCTTTTGACCTTGCAACCTCAATGCCTAAAAAATACCGTAAAGTTCCCAAGTCTTTGGTTTCGAACTCCTTCGCCAGTAGCTTTTTCAATCTTTCTATCTCCATACAATCATCACCTTTTAGAATGATATCATCCACATAGACAATCAAAATTGCCTTTTTGTTGTTTGAAGTTGTTTTGACAAATAAAGTGTGATCCGATTGACATTGCTTGTAACAATCTTGAATAATCACCTTTGTAAATCTGTCAAACCAGGCTCTTGGAGATTGCTTAAGTCCATACAAGGACTTTAGTAATCTACACGCTTTTCCTGTATTACTCTTCACACCCGGTGGAATTCGCATATATACTTCCTCCTCCAAGTTTCCGTTTAGAAATGCGTTTTTTATGTCTAACTGATGAAGCACCCAATTCTCATTAACTGCTAATGACAATAACACTCTCACAGTGTTTAGTTTTGCTACCGGAGCAAACGTTTCATGATAATCAACTCCAAAAGATTGAGTGAATCCTTTCGCCACTAATCTCGCCTTAGATCTTTCAATGCTAGCATCAGCTTTGTATTTTACCGTGAATACCCATTTGCAGCCGACTGGTTTTTATCTTTCGGAAGATCAACTATAATCCAAGTATTGTTGTTTTCCAGTGCTTTTAATTCCTCTTCTACTGCCTTTTTCCACTTGGGATCTTTTAATGCTTCTTCCACCGTATCTGGAACAATAATGCTATCTACGCTTGCTGTAAAGTTCTTAAAACAAGGAAAACGGGAAGTTACTTGTCAAAAAGAAGTGGATGTTTCAAATAATTCAAATGTCAAATTCTTTAGGATTGATCAACAGAATAGTTATCAGGTAAGACTTAAATCATTGATTCCAAAATTTATAATATGGATGTTCTTTCTTGATGTTATAAATAGATATGTTCTTTTAATTTTTTTAAAGCACCTCTATTTATGGTGTATTTTCTTTTTCCAATCATTGAGTATTTTCTACATTGATTGTTATTATGAGTGCTGTGTCCATATGCTGGTTATTTCATTTGGTTATTTCATTTGGTCTTTCTTTAGTTTCCGGAGGAGAGCATGTTTGAGCTATTTCTTGTACTCATGCTGCTCATTTATGGTGTATTTTCCTTTTCCAATCTTTTGTGTGCATGTTAATGACTGTGATATGCTAATATAGTTGCAAACATGTTATTTGAATATAGATATGAGAGAATAATAGAACAGTTCTTAGATGTAAGTAGTTGTACTTAGGTATATTGGTATAGTATAGAAATTTCTGTTTAACATGTTCACTCTGTCCTGAACTGAATTGTGGAATTCTATCTGTTGGAATTCCTAGAATTAAGGAACAATATCTTTTTTTCTTAATTCTAGGAGTTTGCCTTATGTAAATAGTCAACTAATCTAATTCCCTGATCTTAGGAATTATTTCCTAACTTAGAGTAGTTCTTCCTTATAAATTGTAATTTACGTTTAGAGCAATAAAATAAGAATTTCATTTCTTCTCACATTTGTTCATTGCATCAGAGCTGTAGGACTCATTCGATCCTATTCTGCTCTTCTTCTATAAATTGTTCTTGCGTTGTTTTCTTTCTATGGCAGAACAACCAGAAAATCTTTTCGAATCTAAAACCTCAGCCCTTGTATCATTCAACAGTTCATCCTGTACAGAAAATACCTTCGATGTCTGCCTAACCAAATCTCAACTCGAAGCCCTACACAAGATACTTGAAACACCTACTGCTCATAGATCCTTGGTTATTCAAGGTACTGCTTTTAATATTACTTCGAATTCAACTAATCAATCCGCTTGGATCTTGGATTCAGGTGCCTCCGACCACATGACAGGAAACTCATCCCTGTTCCACAGCTACATCCCCTGTCACAATCAATCTCGTATCCGAATAGTTGATGGTTCATACTCGCCTGTTGCTGGGACTGGGGCAGTTCAACTCACTGAAAAACTCTCTTGACAAAGTCTTATATGTCCTAAGTTTATCCTGCAATTTACTGTCAGTTAGTAAACTAATTGAGGATAATGATGCTCTTGTTGAATTTTCTGCTCGTGGTTGTGTTGTACAGGAACAGAAATCAAGGAAGATGATTGGCACTGCTAAGGTTGATGATGGACTCTACATATGGAATAAAGACAATAAGAAAGGAAGTTTGGCGTTATCTGCTTCACACGAGGACACAATTATACTATGGCAGAGAGTACTTCAACTCGATTTTAAGTTCTTACCTTGCAGAACAAGGCATCATACACCAAAGCTCCTGTCCAGACGCATCACAACAAAATGGAATTTCGGAAAGGAATTTCGAAAAGGAAAAATCGACACCTATTAAATGTTGCTCGAGCCCTAATGTTTACCACAAATACCCCAAAATACCTATGGGGAGAGGCTGTTCTTACCGCATTCTACCTAATTAACCGAATGCCATCCAAAGTCCTTAAATTTCAAACACCTCTAAATACCCTTAAAAAAGCTTTCCCTCTTTTCCATGTTCCTACCATACCGGTTAAATTATTCGGGTGTAAAGCCTTTGTCCATAACCATCAACCCAGCCTATCTAAACTTGACTCTCGTGCTCATACTTGTGTTTTTGTTGGCTACTCCCCTACACAAAAAGGGTACAAATGTTACTCACCTACTTTGCATCGTACATTTGTTTCCCGAGATGTAACCTTCTTTGAAACAAAACCATATTTTTCAGCAACTCATCTTCAGGGAGAGATTCTCAATGAAGATGAGAACCTCAATACCCTCCTTATTACTCCACCACCTGATCCTAATCTACCACAATTTTCATACAAATGACATACTCATAGTCCCTTCATAGCAGCCCTCTTCCCAACATCACAATGATGATCCTAGTCTGCAAAAACATCAACAGCTTGCTCCTGAAACTCAACAACTTTGTGCTCTTGAACTCTAGGTTTATTCAAGGCTTCATTACTCTCCTGAAAATGACATAGCAGTGCCAAATTCATCTACAACCGTGGACTGCACCAACACCCTATCTCTAGATTTGTGTATTATGGAAATCTATCCAAGTCATACAAAAACTGTGACAAATATTGACCATGTAAAAACTCCAAGGGATGTGAAGGAAGCTCTTGAATCACCCGAATGGAAACATGTAATGGAAGAAATGAATGCTCTAAAAAACAATGGAACATGGGAAATCTCAGATCTGCCTGAAGGGAAAAAAACAGTAGGATGCAAATGGATTTTCACCACCAAATTCAAAACTGATGGAACTATTGACAGGCACAAGGCTCGACTTGTGGCAAAGGGATTTACTCAGACATATGGGCTCGACTATGATGAGACCTTTGCACCTATTGCCAAACTTAATACTATTCAAGTTCTTCTATCACTTGCTGCAAATCTTGATTGGCCTTTGACTCAGTTGGATGTTAAAAACGCCTTCCTAAATAATGAATTGGCCGAGGAAGTGTATATGGACTTTCCACCAGGATTCGAAGAAGAAAAAGGCCGTGTATGCAGGTTAAAGAAATCACTATATGGGTTGAAACAGTCCCCAAGAGCTTGGTTTAGTCGATTTGCCAAGGCTATGACCAGCAGGGCATATACCCAAGGACAAGCTGACCATACCATGTTCTACAAACATTTAAAGGAAGGTAAATGCTCCATCCTTATAGTCTATGTTGACGATATCATTCTAACAGGAGATCATTCGAATGAAATCAGATGCCTAAAAGAGTTCCTTAGCACTGAATTTGAGCTTAAGGACTTAGGAAATCTAAAATACTTCATTGGAATGGAAGTAGCAAGGTCTCGAACAGGTATCTCCATCTCTCAACGAAAATATGTTCTAGATTTACTGAAGGATACTGGCATGTTAGGTTGCAGACCTGCATAGACCCCGATGGAATTCAATTTGAAACTTGGAAATAATGAAGATGGAGAGGAAGTAGACAGGGGGAGATATCAACGACTTGTGGGAAAACTTATCTATCTATCCCACACTCGTCCTGACATTGCTTTCAGTGTGAGTGTTATCAGCCAATATAAGCATAACCCAAGGGAGAAACATCTAGAGGGTGTCCATAGGGTGTTGAGATACTAGAAGGGAACCCCGGGTAAGGGCCTATACTTCAAGAAAACAAATAACCAATATGTAGACATCTACACAGATGCTGATTGGGCAGGTTCGGTGAATGATAGAAGGTCAACAAGCGGTTACTGCAGTTACGTGTGGGGTAACCTTGTGACGTGGAGAAGTAAAAAACAATCTGTTGTAGCCCGCAGTAGTGCTGAAGCTGAATATCGAGCTGTGTCACATGGTATATGCGAGGGAATTTGGATACAACGACTAATGAGGGAATTAAAAATGCCTCACACCAGACCTATGAAATTGTACTGTGACAATCAGGCAGCAGTGAGCATAGCATACAATCCGGTTCACCATGATCGTACCAAACATGTAGAAATAGATCGCCATTTTATCAAAGAAAAGATTGAATCAGGGGAAGTATGCATAACCTACCTACCAACTAAACAACAAATTGCAGACTTGTTTACCAAGAGCCTAAACAAGAACATGTTTGAAGATCTCACTAGCAAGCTGGGTTTGATGAACATCTATACACCAGCTTGAGGGGGAGTGTTGGAATTCCTAGAATCAAGGAACAATATTTTTTTTCTTAATTCTAGGAGTTTGCCTTGTGTAAATAGTCAACTAATCTAATTCCCTGATCTTAGGATTATTTCCTAACTCAGAGTAGTTTTTCCTTATAAATTGCAATTTACGTATAGAGCAATAAATTAAGAATTTCATTTCTTCTCACATTTGTTCACTATCTACAATGACGCATTCTAGGATGTAAGGACCTTTTTGCTGCTTAATTCTAGTGGTACAAGAACAAGAAGCCATTTGAGGATGGATATGGGGAAATTAATAGGTGATTGTAGAGAAGGAAGTCTCTAGTAGACATTGATGAAGCAGTAGAAATGCTGGAAATTGGACCGAGGACAACTATTGTAAGGATGAATATGAAGTGGCATTGAAGCAGGATGAGAGAGAAGTTTGGATTAGAGAAATTCGTTATCTAGATTCTAGATGGGATAAAATTATAGGTGGCTAGGAACCAAGGGTTAATAAGATGAATGTTGCAGCAGAATAAAAAATTTTGTAAGATAAATGAAGGTAATAGGAGCTTCGTCGTTATATGCTACTATAATATGAGTTTGCTTTGATTAAATCATTGTCTTCCTCCTCACTAAATGAAAGGTTAAAAAAAGACTGATCAAGACGAGTTGGGTGTAAAGCTACTTAGTCATGAATCGATTTGGTACAAGCTTCATTGTTATGTTACTTGGACTTGAGTGAGAGAGTCAAATATGAGCATGTGTCCGACATGTATATCTTCAATTTTTGTGAGTTTTCCATGTATCTGGATACCATTTCCCCATGTCCGGTTGAAGTTATTGGCAGTTTCTGATTTGTGTGATGTTCTCTAGATGTTCAAAAAGGCATCCCCTCCTAAAATAGACATGAAAGTATTGATGATTTGTGTGAAGTTGAGATCTAGGTTGAGTGAATCATTGACAAAAGATTTGGATAGCGTGTTGTTTTGAAGAGTTGAAGAAAGTATTGTTTGTGGGTCGACACTTTTGGTTGGAATGTACTCGAACTGAATGTCTTAAAAGCTATTCCAAAGTTGAAATTCCCTTTATTTCTCTCCCTTTGAATTGTGGATTTGGAAAAATAGAGTTGGTGTTCAAAAAATTTGACATTCATGTAATTGTACTTACTCATTGATAAGAAAAAGAAAAAAACGTGAGTGGTGATTGGATTGATGATAAAATAGCTTCTTGGCCTCTTGGGTCGCGAACATTAATTTGATTGATGATAAAAAAAAGAACATTCTTGATCCAATTCTCCACCTTAACGACAAAAAAAAGATTGATCAAATTCCACTTAGTCAGACTCATAGTGATCATTTATCAAAGAATGACTAGTTATCAAACGATTGAACAACCAGGACCAATTTACTTATGATAATTTGTTGACATTCGTAAAATGTATCTAATGAATTATGAGTTTAATACACCATGTTTAGAAGAAAGGCAGATATTCCTTGCTTATTATGAGACAATCACTTATTCAAAAACTTTTTTTTTTGATAAGAAGTGGAGGCATCACTAAAACCTCCTTCATGATTACTAGAACACCATAAGGTGCTCCAAAAATCAGCAGAAGGAGGAAAAGAGCGCCTCAAATTTTATTAATAAAATAGTAGTACAATGCATATGATTACAACCAAACTTACCCCCCATACAATAGATAAAACCAAAAAATGAGAAAAAAACAAAACCCAACCAAAACTATCTAACTTAGCCAATTCCAGACTTTGCTAAATCGTCTGCCTCTAAGTTTGTTGACCTAATTATCCGACGAATAATGCCCTCCAAGTTCCTTATCTTTTCCGCAATTTCTTTAGAAATTGAAACATACAAACTTGGGCATTTATCCAAATTCTTATTCCACTCCACAGACAACTATCACTCTCAATAATCAACCGTCTCTTAGAGCACCAACTAGAAGATTCAAAGAAAATTAAACCCTGTTTAATGGCCTTTAATTCCATTAAAGGAGGACCTGAACCAAAAGCTTCTTGAAGAGCTTTTGCCACCTCACATGGCAGTCTTTCTCTTTCCCCATCTAAACACAAGAAAAGAGACATGGGAGAGAGAAAAATAGAGAGAGAAAAGTTGAAAGGGAAAATAGATTCCGGCGAGGTATGGAAGGCTTTTGTCGATAATCTTAGCAGGAGAGTTTCTCGACATGAGCTAAGGGATATCTTCTCATCTCAGGGAACTGTGGAGAGAGTTTTCATCCCAAAAGAAACTAGAAATCCAAAATATAGATTTTCCACTTTCGCATTTGTTCAGTTTGAGAGGGAATCTGGTCTGAAGAGGGCAATCGATATGTTAAACGGTTCACTGATAGATGGGAGAAGGATTACAGTTGGAGTTGCAAAATACACTGATGTTCGTCCAAGGAAATAGGTCAAGAATAGTCCAGTAAAGATAGCTCCAGATTCGTCTACAGCAGGACCTTCTAAGTCGAAAGAGGTAGACTTTTTCAACAGGAGTGTTATGGATGACAGAACGTACAAAGATGCTTTACTGACCAATTATACGAGGAACAATGCATTGAGGTATAGGGAGTTATACTCTGACGGGAGTCTCAGGGAGAAAGCAAGGAAGAATGTTCTGGAAATGCATATTCCTTCTGAGAGTTCGAGTTGGGTCAAAAGATCTTTAACGGGGATTATTAAGCTTTCTTTATATTTTAAGTCAGTTCAGGAGGCTTTCATTGACAATGGTTATGAAGTTCAGATTGCTGGTTGGGGTTATGTCCGAAATTCCTGTGCTATCATTTTCAAATCTCATGAAGAGATGATGGAGGCATGGACAAAGAAGAAAGATGAAATAGGCTTTTGGTTTGATAGATTGGTCCATTTATTGAATGAAGATGGAGTTCTAATGGCCTTTTGCCAGGTTGAGTTAACTGGAGTTCCTCTATTAAGCTGGAATGAATCCTTCTTGGAACGAGTTGCAGGGAGATGGGGAAATATGGTAGAAATCCATGATTCCACTAAGAACATGGATGATCTCACGTCTGCGAGGATTTTTATGAGAGTTGCAAGTCCTTTCGATGTTCCAGAATTCATTACTCTTGGATCCTATGGTAGATCGTATAGAGTCAATATTAAAATTGGATCGGTCTATGAAGATTCAAAACCTTTTTTCAAATTTTCTCCGGTGATCGGAGCAGCTGGGGAACAGTTTGGTGAGTTGAGGTCTGAGGAAGGTGAAGATAGGGAGAAGTCAGAATATGAGGAAAGTTCAGTCAAATCAGCAGAGATATCTAGACAGAAGGTTGACTTGTGGATTGATGATGGTGTTTCTTTCGGCTCAGCATAGTTTGATGGGGAAATACACTTTCCAAGATTTACTAAACATGGTAAGGGCATTAAAAGAGGATTGTCAGGTGTTCAGAATGGTGGGGATATCAAAGTAGGTGATTTTGCAGGTCTGGGCATCAGAAATTCAAATAATCTGGCTGATGGGCCAGAGGCCCAATCCGATGAAGATGAGTTGTCTGGGTTAGAGGTTTTTAAGATAATTCCTTCTGGGCCAGCTTATACAATCAACAAGTTTGGTAAATTGGTGCAGAGTAGGGGAATTGTAGAGGCTAGCAGTGTTAAAAAACAATATAAGGGGTCCAGCTCTATTTCAGATTCATCTGGCAATGAAGATGTGGAGGCTTCTAAAACTAATTTTATGCTGATAGTTCCTAATTCAGAATTATTGGAGAGCCACTTAAGAGGTAGATCGATGGTTGTGCATAGAAGCTCGTTATCTACAAAAAGTGAGCCTTTAGAGAGGAGGAAAATGGCCAGTTACAGAAGAGTTTATAGAAGATGTAGGGAGAGGAAATATTGGCATGAGGAGAATCAAAAGGGAATTAATGTTACAGAGGATGTTCTAGATCCAAAGAAGGTTAATGAACAGTTCTGCACGACAGTTCAACAGATTTCTACAATTACAAGGCAGTGAGGAGACAAATTTAGTAGAAAAACCGGGGTTTGAAGTTTTGATGGAGAGCCAGAGGGTTGTGTTGCGATTAAACATTTGTCCAATTCAAATTCTGGTATTTGCAAGAGAAGGGCAAAAAGATTATTGGTAAGAGAAGCTTTAGAACATGTTAACATTTCTACAACATCTTCTTCAGGTTTTTCAGAGCTTTTGGATGAAACAGTAGCTACATGGCAAGTTAGTCAGAGTTTGGGGGTTTCTTTTACAGAGGGGAAGGAAGCTTTTTTGGAAAAAATAATTAAATTAGAGAAAGGCTTTAATATGGACAATTGAGTTGCCATAGTGGGGAAGTTAGATTATTCATTTATTATTCATGAAAGATAAATTAGCAATAATTTCATGGAATGTAAGGAGCTTGGGAAAAAGAGAAAAACATAAAGCAGTTCAGAGATTAGTTTCTAGCACATATCCTTCTTTTCTTTGGCTACAAGAAACTAAAGCAGAGAAGATACAAAGGTCTTTTATGAGAAGGAATGGGTTGAATATTTTTCAGGGTGTTATCGAATCTCCAACTATTGGCTCATCAGGGGGATTATTATGTTGTTGGGATGACAATGTGTTTGAGATGGAAAATCACAACATTAACAGAAGATTCATTGTCGTTGTAGGGAAATTCAGATTGAATCAATTCAGAAGTGTCCTCATAAATGTTTATGGGCCTTCAGTGGAGGAAGAAAAAGAAAGTTTTTTGAAGAACTTAGTGTGTTCATTTCTGGACAGAATGTCGGTTTGTGTTGGAGGAGGTTTTAATGTATACTTGTGTGAGGATGAGAAGGTGGGTAGAGCTCAGAACAGATTCTCAATGAGGATTTTCTCTCAGTTTATTCAGGCTTCAGGGTTAATTAATCTGCCTTTGAATGAGGGCAGGTTCACTTGGTGTAATAACCAAGATGATCCAACTTTTTGTTAGATTGGACAGGTTCTTGGTGGATGGTCAATTTTTGGGAACTTTTCCTGAGATAACAGTCACTTATTCCTAAATCCATTTCAGACCACAATGCTATTTTATTACAAGATGGAGGAACTGATTGAGGAAAAAAACCTTTTAGACTGTTTAATTATTTGATGGAGGAAGATAGTTTTGAGGATATGGTTAGACATACTATCACAGACTGTAAGAAGCCTGGGAGAAAAGTTGGAATTCTAAGTATTTTGAAGAACTCTAAAACAGTCATAAAAAAATGGACAGGGAAGAAAAACCAGTTTCCAGGAGCTGCAATCTCAGATTTAGAAAAGAAAATTCAAAAGCTAGAGGAGGATGCCCAGCAGTTGAATGACAGTTCGGTTCAAGGGATTGCTGATGCGCTAAGGGTTTGTAGATCAGAATTATGGAGACTTCATAGAATTGAGGAGTAGATTTGGTTTCAAAAATCTAGAAAGAAGTGGATTAATGATGGGGACCGAAACACAAGATTCTTTCATACTTGTGCTTCAGTTAGAAGAAAACGAAATGCGTTGAATGCTTTAATAGTTGATGGGAATATTACTCATGATCCAGCTGTTATCAAGGCCACTGTAAAAGATTATTTTTTCAAAATTTTCAATGATCGGTTTACTTTAGACGTTGAAGAAATTGGTTTGGTTTTTCCTAGAATTTCCCCCGAACAAAGTATTCTTTTAGAGAAGGAATTTTCAGAGGAGGAGGTTTGGGAGACTCTAAAGTCTTGCGATAGTAACAAAGCTCCGGGGCCTGACGGATTGAACTTGGGATTTTTTAAAAGGTTTTGGTCTATTCTTAAGGGAAACATTCTGCAGCTTTTTCACCGATTCTATGTGGGGAAAGATTGAGAACATGGTATTAACCATACTTTTATCACACTTATCCCTAGGGGTTCTAACATTGGGAGCCTTGATGATTTTAGACCTATAAACCTAGTAAGAGGAGTTTATAAGATTTTATCCAAGTGTCTTTCCAGGAGGCTTAGAAGTTGTATAGGAGATATCATCAGCCCGACTCAATTTGCTTTTATACCCGGACGACAAATTTTGGATTGCTAACGAGGGTATTGATTATTGGAGGAAGAAAGGGCTTAAGGGTTGTGTTTTTAAAGTTGATTTAAAAAGGCTTATGATACGGTTGACTGGCCTATTTTGTTCAAGGTGATGGAAAAGATGGGTTTCGGTTCTACTTGGATAAGTTGGATCAAGAGATGTGTTTCTACAGCTTCGATTTCAGTGTTAGTCAATAGGGTTCCATCCGAGGAGTTTTCAATGGCCAAGTGTCTTAGACAAGGATGCTCACTCTCACCTTTATTATTTAATCTAGTTAGGGAATTATTGAATTTATTAATCCGAAGGGCTGTTTCTGAGGGATTATTTTCTGGTTTGATAGTTGGCAAGGAGGAAGGGTCTTTTAATCTTACACATTTGCAGTTTGTGGATGACCTAATTATTTTTTGTGGAGCTTCGAAGACGCAAATTATGAATGTGAAGAGGGTGCTTAGAGTATTTGAGGTTATGTCAGGGCTGCAACTAAACCTTAAGAAAAGTAGATTGTTCGGGATTAATATTTCCCAAGAGGAGGTTAAGATTTGGGCAAATTCTATTGGTTGTACAGTTGGAAACTTCCCCTCTAACTATCTAGGTCTCCCACTAGGTGCTACTAAGAATTCCTCAGTTATTTGGGAACTAGTGGTGTAGAATTTTCACACTAAATTAGCAGGTTGGAAGGTTGCTACTCTTTCACTAGCAGGGAGATTGGTATTGATCAAATCGATTTTATCCTCTCTGCCTATGTATTTTTTGTCTATGTTCAAGATTCCAGCTTCAATCCTTAAGTCTCTCAATTCAATTATGTCTAATTTTTTATGGGGAGGGGGCAATGGTATAAAGAAGATACACTGGGTTAAATGGGATGATGTCTGCAGATCAAAGAAAGAGGGAGGCTTGGGAGTTTGGAATCTGATTTTATGAACAGGGCACTGCTAGGGAAATGGTCTTGGAGGTTTGCAAACGAGAGAAGTTCTGTTTGGAGGAAATTTATATGTAGCAAATATAACATTGATTCATCCAGGTTACTGTTTGATAGCAAGGTTTCACCTCAATCTTCCTGGTTATGGAGAACAGTGGTTAATAATCATTACAAACAAGACTCCTTTGGTTCTAAGATTCGTAGTTTGTGCAGTTTTCGTGTTGGAGATGGTAAGCATGTTCGATTTTGGCAAGACAGTTGGGCTGCTGATTATCCGTTCCAGATTTTGTTTCCTATACTGTTTTTGCTTTCTACTAATAAATATGGTAAACTTTGTGAGTTCGGGGAATTTCTTTCATCGGGCTGGATTTGGGATGTTCAAGTAAGAAGAAATTTAAATGATTGGGAGCTTGAACAATGGTGTAATTTGATGAGCATCATTTCTTCTTTTTCTCTGTCTAAAGATTCCAATGATGGTTTGATTTGGAAAGGCTGTGGGGATGGTGTTTTTACTGTTAGTTCTTGTGTCAAGAGGTGTGCATCAGGTTCAGAAGCTGTTCATTTCTAGAATAATATTGTTTGGAGAGGATTAGTTCCCCCTAGAGTTGAAACATTAGTGTGACAAATTATGCTTCATAAAATAGTTGTTAAATCCGAATTGGTTAAAAGAGGTGTTCAAGGTATTGAGGATGTTTTATGCCCTCTTTGTAGAATGGTTGAAGAAACTTCCTCGCATTTGTTTTTTACTTGTTCGGTTGCGTGGTCTTTGTGGAACAAATTTCTAAAATTCTGGAGGTTTAGTTCTGTTTTTTCTTCAGATGCAAAATTTTTTCTCCTAGCTTGGGATGAGTTGAAATCTAATTCTGCCATATAGACCTTCATTCCTGGGGCTGTTATTTGGACCATTTGGAAAATCAGAAATTTTATTGTTTTTGAAGGGGGGAAGCTCGATCAGACAGAGTTATTCTTCTTAACAAGAGTTAGGCTTGCTTCTTAGTTCCTAGCAAAGCATAAGGATGTTTCTATTCCTAAGGACTCTTTGATTTCTGATGGGGATTCTTACTCGCCCTACAATTTCTTGAAGTATCCTATTATCCCTTGGTTACCTCCCTTTATGGGTTTCATCAAATTGAATGTAGATGCAACCACTAGCAGTGATTGGAAGAAATCAGGTCTTGGAGGTCTTTTGAGGGATCATTCTGGTGCAATCATAGGTTCTTTTCAGGAGCCTGCTGGTTCGGGACCTTGGACATTGAAGGAACTTAAAGCTATTCAAAGGGGTATTTCTTTCTTTGCCTCTTTTCAAAGGAGGGTTAAAGATAGGTTGATTGTTGAGAGTGATAGCAGGGTTACAGTAGACTGGATCAACAATGTTGATTCATGTCCAGTTGTATATGGTTTCATTGTTAGAGACATAGTTGATAGTCTTAGAATTTTGGGGGGGGTTGTTAGATGGGTTGCAAGGACAACTAACATGGATGCTGATGCTTTAGCAAAGGCTGGTATAGGATGATTTATGTTGTTGGAATTTTCAGTTTGATTTTATGGTTCCTGTTAGGATGGGGTTTGTTCATTGTTGTAAGGGTTATTTGGATAGACATGTCGAGTGTGTTATGCAAGTCGACAAATCATACAATGAAATAACTTGGAGCATTTACTGATGAATAGGTGAGGAAACAACTTTTCAAGGTATGCAAAATTAGGGTTATCAAGAAGAAGAATGCCATAACATTACTTGATTTGAAATAGAAATAAAACTAAAAGAAGACTTAGAAACAAACTCTAAGACACAACTTGAGTGAATTTGTCCATGTAGAGGAGAGTTCCCTTTGAGCAAGTAAAGCCCACCATGCATTTCAGCGTTGTCCTAAAATTCACAAAGGTTTGTTTGAAATTTAGTCACATAGTTCAAATCACGAGTGAGTTTTTACTAATAGAAATCAGATTACAATCTAATTTGGAAACATAAAAGATAAATGAGAAGGTACTTTCTCACTTTGATTGATTTGATTCCTTGCACGTATGAGAGTGACCCATTTTCTATTCAGACTATAGAGGTTTGATTGTGGGTTGAATTTGTGAAAAATATTGATGTCCTTGATCATGTGACCTGAGACTCCAAAATCAACTATCCAAGGCTTTACTTTGCGGGTTTTTACAATATATGCAACATAAAACTTACCTTGATGTGCCAACATGCTGGTGTGTTTGGTGGAGGTGTTGTGCGTCTCCATGCTATAGTAGGGTTTAGAACCTAGCTCTGAAACCATGTAGAATTTTGGTGAAAAGGAAATTTTCAATTATTAATTATGCGGTAGAATACAACCTTTAAATAGGTTTTGTGTTACATAAACTAGAATGCTAAGACTACTAGGTTTCTTACTTTCCAAGACAAGGCTCTTACCTTATCTCCTAAGAAAGGGAGTTCTGATTAAAATAAAACTTATCTTGAAAACAACATAAAAGAAGCAACTTCTAATAAAACGTTAAACTGAAAACTGACAGAAAATTAAGTCCTTATCTGACTTCTTTCTACATCAACTGTATTGGCAACCACACTATATGCAACCTCCATGGACGAGCGAGCAATGGCCCGTTGCTTTTTGGAGGACCAGCTCAGCAGATTGAGCCTAAAATAAGTAGATAATCAGAGGTCAAAATACGATCATTGACTTCACTTATCCAGTTTGCATCACTGAACTAGAAAACCTTCCTCTAATTGGATAGATTTACCCTTGGTATTGTGTCCTTTCTTGGAGGAACCTATAGCAGAAAAACAAAATGCTAATCTCTTTAAAAGGAACCTCAGGAATCAATAGAATATTTGCGATAAAAGTTTGTGCTTATTTCCTTTCCTCTTTTTTTTTTTTTTGATAGGAATAATAGGCCTCATTAAAAACCTCCTTCTTGATTACCTCTTGACAGAAGTATCTAGCGGAAGGAGGAAAAGAGTGCCTTAGTTTTATAAATAAAGAGAGTATTACATAACATTACAACAG